ATAGAATCTAGCTCTTTTGATATCTTTAAGATTAGAACCTATTTATATGAAAACTTTTCCGTTAGCATATCTCCAGCAAACGAGAACAGTGGATGTGTACTCTCAACTTTAAAACCTAAATTCGGTTCACAGGCTTAGATCGTATATCTATACTAATATTATAAAGTAGAAGAGTTTGTTTGTTTGAACGCGCTAATCTCAGGAACTACTGGTCCGATTTGAAAAATTGTTTCAGTATTAGATAGCCCACTTATTGAGGAAGGTATATATAACATCACGGTAAGACTAATACAAGTGGAGCACCAATAAAGAATGTTTCAAAATAGGGGTTTAAATGGGTCCTTAACATTCTATAATTCAAAAATATTTTCACTTTCTACGTAAATGAAGTGGGGGGGTAAAACTTTGCGTTATGCCAGAGTAATTATTCCACGCGGACGGAGTCGCGGGCAAACGCTAGTCATTTTATAATATCACTACACAAATAAGATAGTCATAATGTCAATATATTTTAATATCCTACAGGCCGCTAGCGACGACACGTAGCCCGCTGACCGAGTTGCTGGTCCATCCTTGTTTATCAACCTACGCACGTAATGCGCGGGTTGCATTGTGTGGGCTGCGAGAATGGCGCGACAGCAATGGAGCAGCCGTTTCATTATCCTAGTCTCTCTTAGGAAATATATTTCTTAACATGTATATTTGTATATATATATTATATATATATACAATTATTATTATTTTTATTTTTATATATTCTACGATAGTTATCTGTGCTTGTATTTATGCCGCAATATGCCGTCACGTCTTCCGGTCTAATACAGTGAGGCCCTCAAAGTTTTCTGCACATCATTCGGTACGATAAACAAAATTCATTTGGTACTGCCCGTGATCGAGTTCATAACAGAAATGCTTCTGATCAAAAAGTTTCGTGGTCGACTTCTTCCATCGATCGATCCTTTTCTTCTCCTGTAAGATTTTGTTTCCCTGCTTATTCATTGGTAGCCTAAGGAGCGTCCCGTCCAAGCGTAGCTGGAATAAGCTACGCTTGGACGGGTAGGTGAGCTAACGGGCTCAACCTGAGAGAATTTGCTAACCCTATTTCGCGTCCCACTGAGAAAATCGAGATTTTGTATATCTTCCACTAATAGACGATAGTATAAATATCTTAATAATGTTTTCCATGAGCGAGATCGTAGTATTTGTAATGACGTTTTGAAACTAAAGCTGTCATTATCGACTGTTTCGTAAACAAGTCGTCAGTCGCATAAAATGTTTTACGAATGTGAATTTTTTAACATAATCATTCGTTTTGTTTTACATCTTCGAACTGTATTATAATGGGTATTGCATTACTCATGTATTGTTCATACCAAGTTGCAATACAAGCTGTGCATTAATCAAGGTTATGGCATAGGATTACTGATGGTTCGAAGTGTCGTGGGCCTCACTGGGTAGGTAGGTTGGTCCTCTTGTGTGTCCGCACGGCTAGGTACCACCACCTCGCCTATTTCTGCTGTGAAGCAGTAATGCGTTTCAGTTTGAAGGGTGGGGCAGCCGTTGTAACTATATTGAGACCTTAGAACTTATATCTCAAGATGGGTGGCGCATTTACGTTGTAGATGTCTATGGGCTCCAGTAACCACTTAACACCAGGTGGCCTGTGAGCTCGTCCACTCATCTAAGCAATAAAAAGAAGGCACCATTATCTTGCCACTTATGTTGTTGTTGTTGTAGTCCTAGGGTACCCTGCTGGTACATAGGGCCTTCACAAGCTGTCTCCATTTGACCCTGTTTTGCGCTTGCTTCTTGACCTCACTCCAGGTCATGTCGGCAGTCCTCATCTCGCTTTCCACGGTGCGTCGCTAAGTATGTACAGAGCGACCAGGTCTTGTCTTGCCACGCGGTTACCATTCAAACGCGATTGATGCTGCGTTGACTCCGCTGCGCCGTAGAGTGTATCCTATCCAAAGCCATTTCTGATGAGGAATGTCTTGTGCGATAGGGGTGTGATCACATTTGCCATTACTGCTACGAAATCCTTTCCGTTTGAAAGGCATTTAATCTAATGGAAACTTCGACCTCATGTCTCAAGGCCGTTATCATTGTGATGGTCACCGCTTAACACCAGTAGGCAGAAAGGTAGTTTGGTGCTAAAAAAAATCATTACACGAGTCTAGTATTTATTCTAGTATTACAGTATCTGTGGAAAGTTGTTCATTCAGGTTTGATAACAAATCTGTATATCTATAGGTATATCTGTACCAATAGCGTGGTATGGACATGTGATGCGTAGAGAGAAGATGCATGTGACTAGGAGATGTATGGAAATGGTAGTGCAAGGTAGAGAGGGAAGAGGTCGACCGAAGAAGACATGGATGGAGTGTGTGAATGACGATATGAGCGAGAGAGGAGTGAGTGTTGAGATGACGGCTGATAGATGAGAATAGAAGAGATAAATTAGCTGTGCTGACCCCACCTAGTGGGATAAGGTGGAGAAAAAGAGAGTTTCATAACAATTTTTTTTTCTATTTGAAAAAACTAAATTAATTACGCGAATAAAGATTTTACACACACAAATCTTATTTTATCATTCCTTAAATTACTTTTAACTGAAAACTGTCTTAGTAAGCTAATGGATTTAGTCAAATCACAATTCAATTCAACAGTCCGTAAGCAAGCGGTCTCTACAAGAAAAATTAACTAAAAACACCATTTGTCTTTTTTGCTCGAACACAAGATACCGATTGGTTTTTGTTTGAGGTAATGACTCATCCGAGGCCTTCGAATGTGCTGTAGTACTTCACTACTGTACTGCGTAGAAACTATTTTGTTATACGATATAATTATATTATCGATAAAACCATAGACTACTAACCATAAATATCATCGTTCAATTTCGGAAGGTTATTCTGGTCAGGGAAACACGCATTTCCGGAATAAGGCGTTTTGATTTCAAAATTAAATGACCAAGTACCGTAGTAAGCTCTACTTTTTATACCATAAATACCTCAAATAAAATCTCAATATATTATTAAAATTTTCGCAACTTGCGCCGTGACTGGCCATCTTAAGGAGAAAATGTTCGAAGTTTATAAATAGACACGATAATGTTCAATTCACCTATGAAACAAAACGAAGTCGGCAATTTTTGTTTCACAGCATCAGTGAAGATTCTTGGAAGGAGAAGCAAAAAATTTACAAGCTGGTAACTGAAATACCGGAAAGATTCTTTGTTAATTGACATAGACTGTACCTCTAAATAGCGAAAGCTCGAATCTATTTTCTGTTACGAATTTAGCGTTTATTACGCTGGTTCCTCTCATAAACCTTGGCACTATTTCCTTTGATATATAATAAACATAATCGGCGCACAAGCATATCCAACTAACCGAACCCATAATGGAAACAAAGTAATAATTCATTTATAACACATTAAACAAACGAAAGGGAATTCTAAACTTCACCAGAACCAGAAAATCTAATTTAAGGAGACCCCAATTTTTTAATGAAAATTGAATTGTAAACTTAAATAAAGTTCCAAATAAATAAAAAGTTACTGCATCGACTCCCGCATCCTATTATGATCGAGCTTTCAACGGAAACGGTGCTCTGAGGAATTGTTTGAGATGATACCATCATCTCGTTTCTACCATCGCACCACCCACCACCGGAGTAGAGTTCATCCATACTACCTGGAGCCATGCGTCCATGCACAGTGCGTTTCCAGAGATCTTTTTTGCTACGTACCATCCGGCTTTGGAATGAGCTCCCCTCCACGGTGTTTCGCGAGCGCTATGACATCTCTTTCTTCAAACGAGGCTTGTGGAGAGTACTTAACGGTAGTCAGCGGCTTGGCTCTGCCCCTGGCATTGCTGAAGTCCATGGGCGACGGTAACCACTCACTATCAGGTAGGTCGTGTGCTCGTCTGCCTACAAGGATAAAAAAAAAAACACCAAAAGTCCAACACAAATCCAATGGTTCAATATTCATTGTCAAGTTTGACATGTGATTAACGATTTACGTCAAAATAATCTGTTATGTCAACATCCGTCAGTAATCTGTGATGTTCATTGTATTCGATATCGATTAATTTCGATCAATCCACAGAGACAAGCCGGCTCGTGCCCAATGACCTAGAACTTATGTTGACTCTGTAATCATTGTACAGATGATTTAAATCCTTTTATTTTATTCCAACATCGTATACGCCTTCAAGCAAATAAGCGCAAAGTCTAACGAAATAAAGGCTAATTTCCACTGACATTTAACTCGGATAAGTTGCCTTGATTTACATAAAGTGTGTGTCAGAGACGAGTTAGCACTATGATGTCATAATAATCTACCTACACAAGAATCATCGATTCGGACTTTTTAAAATATACGTGAAATTTATTATTTATTATTATTAGATTTTCCGTATCTTTTTCTTTCTTTTCTGTAACGAAGTTCTTTAGAACACCGTGACACGTTCATTACTAGTTTATTAACAAGCATTTGGTCCAGCTGATGTTGACTGCAACTGATACTTGAGTTTGTTACATCTATATGCAGGATATAGGCATAATTGTTGGCAGCGGCTTGGCTCTGCCCCTGGCATTGCTTAAGTCCATGGGCGACGGTAACCACTCACTATTAGGTGGGCTTTATGCTCGTCTAGCTACAATTGCAATAAAAATAATAATAATAATATAATTTTGTGAAATCGTTTTAAAAGGAGATGTAATTTCATGTACCTGTAGTAGACCGAGGGAGTATTTCTATGCCTTGACGCTTTATAGCAGAAAACAACGATACTCGCGAGCACGCATTAATAGACAGTCATGATGATTTATCATTATTTTATCTATTGTGTATCATAAACACACCACAAATCCCTGAAGAATACATACATAAATAAATCCAATCGAGTTTTTTTTTTTTTAAACAGCAACTCAACTTCAAAGAAAGAAATGTGAAATTGTAGTTACAAATACGTTAATTATAATTTTTGTTTCAGTGAATCAAATACGAGAAAAGTGAACGAGCCTCGAGTGCAGAGTACGACGCCACACGTCGCACTACGAGAGAGCGGTACGACTCCAATATATTACAACTACTGTGGCTGGGCATAGTACGAAAAAAATGTACTTGCTTCGGCAGTACATATACTAAAATTGGAACAATACAGAGAAGATTAGCATGGCCCCTGAGAACCCTCTCATCGTGGCCGCTGGAAACTACATACCTGACCCAGTAGACCGAATGGTAAACCGTCGACGTCGCCCAAAGCACGTCATTACGGATCCTCCTGATCCATTAACGGTGCTTTTTGGCCCCACAAGCACCGGTCACCGTCCTTGTCGAACCCGTCGCTTGCGACGAAGGGATCAACGAGCGAATTAACCCACAGACACAGCCCACTGAGTTTCTCGCCGGATCTAGCGATAGATAGATAGATTCTGCGAAGCACTGCTCTTGCTAGGGTCAGTGTTAGTAACTCTCCGGTTTGAGCCGCGTGAGCTCACCTGCAAACGTTAGGGCGAAGCTGAAATAGCCTCTCAAGGCTATCAGCATAGGTAGGAGAAAAAAAGTACGAAAGGCGATTGCATGCAGCAGAGATGCGAATGTTGCGATGGACGTGTGAAGTAACGAGAATGGATAGAATACGGAATGAATATGTTAGAGGAAGTCTGAATGTGGCACCTGTGACAGAGAAGCTGAGAAGTGCGCGTTTGGGATGGTATGGACATGTGATGAGACGAAATGAAAATGAGGTTAGTAAGAGAGTGTTAACTATAAATGTGGAAGGATATAGAGAAAGAGGTAGACCTAAGAAGAAATGGATGGATTGCGTGAAAGACGATATGGGTAAGAGGGGAAGTGAGCGAAGAAATGGTATATGATAGAAGAGTATGGAAGGAGAAAACATGTTACGCCGACCCCAGGTGACTGGGAGAAGGACAGTATAATGGTGATGATGATGATGTGGGCTTGGTACGCGCCCACTGAATTTCTCCCCGGATCTTCTCAGTGGGTCACGTTTCCGATCCGGTGGTAGATTCTGCGAAGCACTGCTCTTGCTAGGGCCAGTATTAGCAACACTCCGGTTTGAGCCACGCGAGCTCACCTAAATGTTAGGGTGAAGCTGAAATAGCCTCTCAAGGGAAGATCTTCCACCGAGCGGGTGATATTGCTCGGTAGACCGACGGTCCAAATGTTGTTGTTCGGAACTTGTATATATGCGAGCCTATCTTGAAAATGTCGTAAGCGAGATTCAGGCATCTGTCAAATATCTTGTGTTCTGTGATGGCTACCGCCACACTATCGATGGGGGTATTCTTAGAGTTTTATTGACAACAATAACAATCTATTATTATGTTAACATTAATCATTTGTTGGTATGTTTGCTTGAATTATGTATTAATCTAAGGCAGATGATTAAAAGTAATTAATTCGCTGTTTCACTTACCGACAGTCTAACGCCGACTTTTATACATTTAGAATGTGCCTTTTTTATGGCTTATATGGGAAGACGAGCTCACGGCCCACCTGTTGTTAAGTGGTTACCGGAGCCCACAGACATCTACAACGTAAAGGCCGCCAGCCACCTTGAGATATAAGTTCTAAAGTTAATAGTTACAACGGCTGCCCCGCCCTTCAAACCGAAACGCATTACTGCTTCACGGCAGAAATAGGCGGGGTGATGCAACCTACCCGTGCGGACTCACAAGAGGTTCTGTCACCAGTAACCAGTTTGTCTTTATTTTGTTCGAACACTACATAGAAACAGAAGATGTCTATGATAAAACTTTTTGGTTAAAAATATACTGTTACTAAAAAAAACAGTCTCCATTTTCTTATTACGATACGACGGCTGATCTTAGAGGTATTTCCCTGGAAACAAAAAACCCATTTGAAACCGATCATTTGCGAGATCTGGATCTATGGAGGGAGTTTACATCTCCATTTGTTTGATATCGTATGAACCATGGGGAGTTCACTGAAGGTTTTTTGGAGATAGTCCCGTCATCTCCATTCTCTAGGAGTGGAATCCATATTCCAATTCATAGTATTTGGAACAAGTAAGTTCATCCACGGTGTGTGTTGACATTTTTTGGCCACGCAATATCAAACAAGTGCATCTTAATGATAGGCAGTTTGGTTTTAGGAATGGGTTATCGACTGATACTGCGATAATGACACTTAAGAGTACTGTGCAGTATTATACTGGGAGGAAGACGCCTGTGTACGCATGTTTCCTGGATCTGTCCAGGGCTTTTGATCTTGTTCGATATGATTTACTATGGAATAAGTTAGCTAGGGAAGTAAAGCTGCCGCCTGAATTAATTAAAATTTTTCAGTATTGGTATGGCAATCAAAATAATAGTGTGAGATGGGCCGGTGCGCACTCTGATGCGTACCGTTTAGAATGTGGTGTGAGGCAGGGGGGTCTAACCTCACCTTTGCTATTTAGCATATATATGAATAAGCTCATCGATGAGCTCAGTAGTGCGGGTGTCGGCTGCATGATCGATGGAGTTTCTTTTAACAATATTAGTTATGCAGACGATATGGTATTGCTGAGCCCATCTATGAGTGCACTCAGGAAACTTTTAAAAATTTGTGAGAACTATGCTGAGTCCCACGGGCTGAGGTACAATGCCAAGAAGAGTGAACTGCTAGTGTTCAAAGCGCAGAACAAAACTTACGAGAACGTACCTCCAATCTGGCTAGCGGGCGCAACGCTTACACAAGTCAAGCGCTTCAAGTACCTCGGTCACTGGGTAACAGAGGATGGTACGGATGATTGTGATATAGATAGGGAGCGTAGGGCGTTGATAGTAAGATGCAATATGCTGGCCCGCAGATTTACTGGTTGCGATAGCTATGTCAAACTTACAATTTTTAAAGCTTATTGCCAGAATTTTTACGCCAGTAGTCTGTGGACCACATACACGCGGAGAGCTTACAATGCCCTACG